TATATTGTTTGTTGTTTGTTTTTGTTTTGAGACATGATCTTTCCATATAGTTCAGGGTGGCCTTGAAGTATTGTCCAGGTTGGCCTCAAACTGTTTGGCAGTTTTCCTATCTCAGCCTCCCTCATGCTAGGATTACAGGCATGTGCTACTGTGCCTGTCTTATTTTTTTTTTCCCCATTTACATATTTGTATGTCCAAGTCGCAGCTTGGATTCGTACTGATCCTCCTGTTTTCAGCCTCCCCAGTGCTGGGATTACAAGCATGTGCCACCATGCCTGGACTCAGTCGCCGGCTCAGTGCACCCAGTGGCTGGGCCAGTGCAGCATGCAGGATGTGGGATCAAACTCTGGTCCCCGAGCTTGCCAAAGCAGGGGCTTTATCTTGCCGGCCCCCGTCTTGTTTTAAATAAATACTTAAACACCATGTAGGTGTTAAAAGTGTCTGAATTCTAGGTTTTCATAGTAGAGCTGCTTTGCCTGTAGGCACACAGTACCATCAGGATCCCCCCCTTTTCCCTACTAATCAGTACATGGAATCTGAAAGCCCATTGTTGAGCACAGTAACAATCATCTCCTTTTCTAGGGCTTTTCCTGGCTCAGAGGGCATGATCTAGCCAGAACAAAGATGACTAAAATTTCAGGAAGGTCAATGGTCCCAACAGTTAGATGTGTTCTACATGCTTCTCTTGGTTCCTAAGCTGGGTCTGAAGTGACAAATATTTACACTGTTCTCCGTACTATCCGGGCCCACTCAGAACAAAGAACTGCAAGCCTTCCTCACTCCCCTGCTCCCATTTCTGCTGATCAGGCAAGCCTTCCTCTTTTATTCCGATATTTATTTCTTTATAGTTTGGCTACCATTTTAGAATCAAGTAGTGTAGTGGGGAAGAAAACGTGAGTTTTAAAACACGATGAGCCTTGGTTCAAACCTTGGCCTACTAGTGTTTGGTTTCCTTGGCAATATTACAAACCTCTGGAAGCCTCGGCTATTCAGTCTGTAAAAGGAAGATAGTACCCAGCCTGGGACACATGACGACTTCATACGGCTCAGGCAATTGCATCGATGACCCTCTTGTTATTTACACTTTTTACCTTCTGCTCAAAAACCTTGCAGGTTGCACATCACTTGAAAATGAATCCTATTGTGCCTCTCTCTTTATTCTTCCTCAAACCCTGGGCTCTGCCCAATCTGAAACACTGGCAGAGTCTTGCTTTCCTCTGTGCTCTCTCTTTGCAGTTCAGACCACCTTTGTCCTGATTACCTCAGTACCAAGTTAGGGCTCTTTCCTCTGCTGCAGCTCTCTATGCAGTTCAGCGGCACTGAGGACCAACTTTTTTTCTTTCAGACTAGGCAATTGTACATTAGAAACTGCTAGTCAGGTGACACAGGCCTGTAACCTCACAGGCTAAGACAGGATGATGACAAGTTTGAGATCAGCTTAGGCAATTTAAGAGAGACTCTGTCTCAAAAATAAATACATAAAAAAAAATTAAAAGGGCTGAGGATGTAGCTCAGTGGCAGTCTGGGTTTAATCTGCAAACAAAACAACAGAACTGCTGAAAGCTGAGCCTTTGTCTGGTTCCTCTTTTACCCTACAGACATCTCACACGCAGTTGATGCTCAGAAAACGCTTGGTGAAAGAGTAATATATTTTCCTTATTTCACTGGGCTCACTCATTCTGTGGAATCAGATGTCTGATTATTCTCAGCTCAACGTTGTTTTGTGAGGCCCTGGAGAGCATGCAAACATTTAGAGGCGTTTTATTCTTCTCTTTTACTTGGAAAGAGCTTTTGGAAGTGAAAAATTGAGTTCTCCAAGCCTCATCTTCTGCTACTCCCCCATACTCGAGGACGGAACTACTTAGCATCACACAAAACACGACTTTCTCACGCCTTCGTTCCTCCGCATGAATATGCCAATCCGTCTGCCTAACATGCCCTCTCTTCGGCTGCTCGGCCTGCCCCACTCCTACTCATCCTCCAAGACTCAGCCTTCTCTATAAAGGCTTCTCTGCAGTGGACCGAGAACTGACCCCTCCTCCATCTTTTAGCCTTCTCAGCCTTCCCTCAAATAGTTGTGACAGTAGAGAGGCATCTCTGCTTCTTCCCTGGACTGTGAATTGCTGGTAGGCCAGAACTGATTGACTGATTTCTTTCTTTATTCTTCTTCCTGTTTTTTGAGAGCCAGGATTTCTTTTCGTCATTTTACCTTCTAACCCCAGCACAATACTTACTTATATGGGGTACATGGTTCAGTCAACGAAAGAAAGAATCCTTGAATTCATCTCATATTGCAGTGTTTTTTGTTTGCTTTGTGCTGGGAATCGAATCGAGGACTTTGTGCTTGCCAAGTAAGCGCTGAGCCACTGAGCTACATTCCCAGCCCATTTGTTTGTTTTTGGAGACAGGGTCTCGCTCTGTAATTCAGGCTGGGCTTCAATTCGCTATATAGCCCAGGCTAGCCTCGAACTCATGGCAATTTACTTGTTTCAACCTACCAAGTGCTGGTGCACCCCCAAATCAGGCAACACCGTGGTTTGTATGATCCGGATTCCCAAACAATTGAAGACCCAGTTCTCCATATGTGCAATGCGCCATGTTACTATAAGACCTCTTTCCTCCGCGGACAATGGCAAGGTTTGGTGGAAAGTGAAGGAAAAGTGATTTGAACGTGTGTTATTCTTTCAGGGCAGAGCAGTAAATTGTCCATTCCAGCACGTCTAGAGTTACTGCCACCAGGGGGCGGAGCCAGGCGGGTGCCACCTGCTGCGAAGTGCCATTGCGCATGCGTCCCGGCACGTAGCGCGTCTACCTGCGGGGGCCCGGCAGCGAAGGAGCGCTTGCGCTCTGGGCCTTTTCCGCCGGAGGAAGTCTCGCGGGGGCGGGGCGCCGCGGGGCGGGGCAGCGTGGGGAAGTTCTCGCGGGACCGGGACCAGGAGCGGAAGCGAGGCGGCTGTGCAGCTTCGGCTACCGGGCGGCGGCGGCGGCGGCGGCGGCGGCGGCAGCGGCGGGAGCAGCGACGACCACGACCGAAGCTGAAGCGGTGACGGCGGCCGGAGCAGACGCTGCCCTCGTGGAGCAGCAGGAAGGTGTGCGGCCGTTCGCAGAGCTGCGGAGAGGCGGACCGGGCAAGACAAGGGCAGCTGCGCCACGGTGAGTGCGGGCAGCGGCTCTCGTTTGGCTCCGGTGTCTCTTCCTCCAGCTTCGGTGGCGGAGTACCGGGCCCAGCCTGCCCAGAACCGCTGGACAGACACAAGGTTCTAGTCGTGGCCGTGAGGCTCGGGGCGAGGAGCGGAACCTCCGGACTCCGGACTCCGGGTTTCCCCTTTTGGGGCGCTTCCTCTCTGGGGGCCGTCTTCCTCAGGTTTGGGACAGAGCCCGGGACCCCCGCGAGAAGCGGGGCTCCTTAGTGAGTTCTCCTGCCTCCTGTCGTGAGGGTTTGCGTAGAAGGGGCCCTGGAGCACCCGAGAGGCGCAGGGTGGCAATTCCGTGAGTCAGGCTGACTTAGCCCGGGAGGCGGGGGATTCGGTGCAGGCTGCAAACGTGGTGATTGATGCTCCTTCAACCTGCACAGCAACCACGTCACCATCGCTTGGCGTCTTTGGGGGATTTTTTTTTTTGGCGGAAATCTATCCACTGTGAGTTGGAATGTTTGCTACTGGAGCCCGTTGAGCGAGACCTCTGTGCCGGAGGTTTTCTTTTTTAAGCTACTTAGAAAAGACTTGGACAGGAAAATTGAGCCGCCGCAGGTCGGAGCGCTCGGAGAAAGATTTCAGCGCGTGACAGCGCTGTTAATGTTCATCTGCAAGACTATCCCTATACTTTCGTGACTGTAAGGCAGCAGAATTACGGCTTGTTTAGAAAGTAGCTCTAGGCTCGCTTCAGATGCTATAAAAGTGCCAATTGCAGAACAGCCGAAGTGCACTGGAGGTCTTTCTTCAGGTGGTGCTGGCGCTCAGAAAACTGAAAGATACGAGACATTATCGCTTTAGTCTGTTGTGGCTTTCTTACCTCTTTCACTTTGTACTTCTCCGGTTGTCGGCAGCTCTCTCGGACTAATTGCACTAGGGACGTGAAATGCTTGCTTTTGTAACTCTAGGCATTTGCTTCTCACGTCCCCCCCCCCTTTTTTTTTTTTCTAATCTACTTCCTCTTCCTTCTTTCTGTCCCTTGTCGGGCATAGTTTTTCAAACTTTCTGCCTTTTTGGCCCTGTGGGTTTTTTTCTTTTCAGGATTACGTCGTCTTTCTCGGTAAAATATCTCCTCTTTCCTGTTTCCATTCCTTTGCCTTCAGGTTACCACTATGTCCTTCATAGCCAGTCAGCCAGATGGGTTGCTAGAGAGCTAGGTGAGATTCGAGTTCTCCTCTTGGGAACTGGGAGGTTGAAAGGATTGAGTTGATCCGTAAGTAATCAATAGTGCCACCAGGTTACAAGTGTAGTTTGCTTGTGTTTTAGTTTTTTCCTCGCTTTAAGATTTTTGTGACTGCTTTTTCCTTCTTCTGTCTCTGTAGTAGTGAAGGAGATTAGGTCAGTTTGGGGTTTATGTGACTTTCAGTTTGGGTAAGGTTAGAGTTAAAGAATGAAAATCACTTGTACACCTATGAACATAACCTGGAAAACTTATTTATTTATTTTTTCTGGTACTGGGGATCGAACTCAGGACCTTGTGGTTGCCAGGCGGGCACTTAAGCCACTGAGCTATCTCCCCAACCCTAACCTGGAAAATTTAAAGGGCTATAACTTATTTAATTTTTTTTTATTTTTATTTATTTGAGAGAGAGAGAGAGAGAGAGAGAGAGAGAGAGAGAGAGAG